GAATTTGTAGGCAGCCATGAGATCACCTCTCCACCTCCTCTTGGGAGACCTGAACCTCTTCAGCCTCCTCAATTGGTCTACGTAGGGGTTTTCTGTAGGCCTTTTAACCAGACAAGTGGCTCTCCTCTGAAGCCCCTCCAGGCCATCCACATCCCTCCCGAAGTGCAGCGCCCAAAACTGGGCACAGTACTCCAGCTGCACCCTGACCAATGCTGAATAGAGGGGAAGTATCACCTCCCTAAACCTGTTTGTGGTGCATCTACTTATGCAAGAAAGGGTGCAGTTAGCTTTACTTATTACCTCATCACACTGGATTACTCATGTTCGTTTTGGAGTTGACAACAACTCCGAGATCCCTTTCCGCAGTTGTGCAACTTAGTGGTCCCTCCCAGACTGTAGGAGTGTTGACTCTGTGTGTGTGTCTGTGTGTGTGTCTGTGTGTGTGTCATGATTATAAAGTCCCTTGAGTATAAGACTAGGCCTGTGTAATAGTAAGAAGTTTTATTTATTTATAAAATAGATTAATAGTAAAATGTTTTATCCATCTATTTTATAAATAAATAAAACTTCTTACTATTACACTGGCCTAGTTTTATACTTGAGGGACTTTACAGTCACGAGTAGGTAGGTAGGTAGTTTGAGGTCCACTGTGTGTGTATACAGTGGACCTCAAAATATATAAATATACATATTCATTTTTTTTTTTGCATCCAACTTGAATTCAGATGAGTGTTAGCATAAAGTTTAAGACTACAGTGGCATTTTCCCCCTCTTTGTCTGCTAGTTCTCACAGTGGCAGTTCTTCTACCCAAGTTGAGAGGAGGAGTTGGTAGAGGAACAGTGGGTGGACAGAGAATGATTGTACATGTTTGTTTTAATTTAATTTAGTAAGCTCTACAGAAAAGACACCTCCCATCCCCAGGTAGCCTCTAGTTAACTCCTTTTTAAATTTAGCCATGAAGTCAGAATCTGTCTCTTGTCTTTTTGGCTTTCTCTCTATGAGATCCGGGTATCCTTTATGCAAAGTTGTCTTTCTGCAGTTCTAGAAGGCAAAGAGGGAGGGCATGAAAGACTGAAGTGATTTTTCAGCTTGTAACACAGAGGGCTTTTTTATTATTCATTTTTTGTTTCTTCCGTTTTTAATACTTCCGCTTAAGTGGACAAGCCTTACCTCTCAAGATGACTTGAAGTGGATGTTGGCATGTTTTTTTCTTGATGTGTCCTCTTAACTAGTTGGAATATTATTATAACGAAGATTAGTTTTGACTGAACTAACTTTAAAAAAAAATGGAACCTTTATTAACTTCCATTAACCTTTTTATATGTGGAAATATTTCTTCTGAGGCTTAATTGAAAGCTAACCATTTTTCTTTCCCCTTTTGGAAACAAGGATTTTCTGTGCGTTTTTTCTTTTGATGCCTAGTGTAGGAAGTTGTCCTCTGGGGGTGAGGGAGGAGGCATCAGCAATTGGTTTGCTGATATGCTCAATTCTGTATGATTCACAAGATGTAGAGTATATATCCTATTGGCTTCAAATGGTGCATCTGAGTCACAAATTCAATTTTTAGAAGAGGAATAATAACCTCCTATTTTGTGAAAGCAAGACAGTTTCTGTGGGCAAACACAGTCTAACAAAGTAAACCGTATGTAGCTCAAAACCTTGTGTTGGTAATTATAAGATCAAATCATGTAACATTTTGACTCTTGCTTAACACATAGTATCTGTGGCTTTCCGAAGCTAATTGTGTTTATATTCCTAATGTAACTATCTCAATTTCTTATGGGCATTGCTCATGCATGTTCAACACACAAAGATTAAGTCTGAGGAAATCATGATTTCTCTGAGCTCTGGGAACTGAGAAACTTTGTGAGCCTGTAATTGTAAAGGCTAATACCATATGAACATATCCTGTTCTCCATCCATCAGCATCTATACTTCTTTTGGGGAATAAGTCTTTGGTGTACTGGAAAACTTCTGTTCACCTCCAAAGGACTCAAACTTTTACATTATATAATATTACACATTTAATGTGGTCTTAAATAACTTTAGTAAGGTTACAGATGTGTTAAGCTATCTTTCTTTGAAATTGGGCAGAAGGCAGGGCAGGGTAGCACCTTAGAGATGAACTGGATCTGAGATGTTAAGCTAACTTTTTATAGGCGATTAACTTATTATGTCAGATGGCAGCATCTGACAAAATAAGTTGTTGGCTTTGAGAGCTCATGCTGCTGAATCATTCCCTGCTCTATCTTCTGCCATTAGTAAGGTTGTAAAGGAATGAGCTTAGAAATTAGGAAATGTGAGAATGAGGACTGTGCCATAATTGGCTTCCTTGTGTACATGTATAATTGTCAAGTCTTGTATTATCACACACTTGCTTGTCTCCCATGCATGCGCCTTTCTCCGCTAGCTGTGTGAAAAGGCCATGAGGAAACCAGTGTTAATCTGCATAGCAGAATGTAATAATGTGCAGTTAGAAAAAGGCAATGGGCCATCCAAGTAAAACAGAAGACATGCTCATTAATCAGGAACCCTCAGTTCTGAGCACTGAGTAAGGCTGATCCTATGTGGTCTCCTACAGGGAGACCACCATAATGCATATGCACAACAAGATTAAAGCATTCCCCCCGCAACATTAAACTCTGCTGTATCATTTCCGAACTTTTGAGTGAGTGCATGACTAATGCTGTGATAGGTTGCTGGACTTGTACTTACTCATAAATGCGGATTTAGTAATGGCTTTACTTGGTGTTAAACATTCATTTCCTCCCTTTTTTCCTAGAAAGGAGAAATTATCCATAAGAATCCTTCTATACTAAACCCCTCCCAAAAAACCCCAAAACAAAACAACGCCCCCCCCCCCCAAAAAAAAAAAAAAAACCAAAC